ACTGTCAACCACATCAACATTGATGTTTAAACGGGGCAAAAAAATGTTTAAACGGGGCAAAAAGATGTTAAAGTAAAAATTAATTAAAAAAAAAATTAAAAAGTAAACGCCGGAAACCGGCGGAAAAATCAAGAGAAAAAAAAAAAAAGTCAACGCCGAAGACCGGCGGTCAAAGGCGGCGACGGGTGAAATTGTACTCAAAATTGAGTTTTGGGTCAAAATTGAATAATTTGTGAAATTTTGAGGTCAAATTGAGATTAAATTAAATTAAGGGATGAAATTGGAGTCTATAAAAATATGAGTGGTATTTTAATCTTTTACACATCTCTCGACAATGTGTGAAGTTTTTTGTAAAGAAGTTTTTTATACGGACCCTTATATTAATAAGTATGCCATGATGGACTTATTTGTAATGGACCCATAAATATAATAATGATGATGATTAAAAAAGTTTCGGAAGCATCCGATGAGGTGATCAACAAATAAAAATAACCTCATCAAATTCAGGTTTGAGATCGTATTTTCGATTAGTCGACTCAATTACATCTCTTATTAATCTAAAATTTAAATAAGTCTAGCCCTAACAAACTAGGGGTTGAATATTCTATCCTAAATAAACTAGGATTGTCAAATATGTTCAATGAAAAAAACCAAGTTTAATACAATTAAAGTTGAATAGTGCTCTTGTTAGGTCATTGTAAATTGTAAGAGTGATTTAGTTGGTGGACCAAGAGAAAATGACTTGTAACGAGTTGGGTTTGGTTTCTGTTGCCAACACTTTTTAGGTTGAATTTGTCGCATATTGATTATTTCTTGCGATTTATACCTCTAATGACTCGAGTTCGATTTTCATCGCCAACACATTTCTAGCTGAGCTCAATGCATATGAGTTGCCTACTGTAGTTAGTGACTTGAGTTCGAATATTTTCTAGGTTTGAGCTAGCATATGGATTGTTTATTTTCTTGTGTTATATACGAGCTATTGCACAAGAACGTGTTCGCCGAATGCACATATGCGCATGCATATTCCGTTGTAAAAAGAAAAAAAAGTGTATTGTGCTTTTGATTTACTATTAGCTTTACTTCAAATCAAAATTTATTATATAATGCCATGTAATAGAGCCAATTACAAAAACCTGTTAAACTTTAGCTAAGTTACAAAACAAAAACCCACATATTTGTAACTACAGAAAACGTCAGGGGTTTGTTTTCGTTTTACGCTGATCCCTTACAATATGAATTTAAACTGGGGCGGCAGTGAAGTTGAAACGGGAAGGAGGCGGGCGTAATCATTAGGAATTAGGACTAGGGTTTCCTTAATCCGATTTCAGATTCTTTCAATTGAAACTTTAATCCTTAATTTGTATTCAATTGACCAGACTTGATTTGAACCATAGAGTTTCAATCCAAAACAAAATCAATTAAATAATTCAATAACAAAGTACTTCACTCGACGAGAATATTTATCATTAAAACAAATATTTAATGAGAAAAATGGCATCAAAATAGTGAGACCAAAATTTGATATGCAATATAAAGTAGTAAAAAGATGTACAAAAAATAATTCCGTTTTGTGCAAGTAATTAATTTAGCCAAAGTAAACGAAAAAGGAAAATATTGACGAACGAGATTTCATATACAGAAAGCGAGTATATCTTAAGTCTCTATGTGTACAATCATAATGCCTAATTAATTCAAATTCTTCATATATGGCAAACTCATTATTAAAATTGTGTTTGATTACAACTCCCCTAATTGCATGTACCGAATCCAATACATTGCGAGTGACCTGCATATTTTGGAAATTGTCGTACAAAGTAAGTAACACATTAACAATGTCAAAAGAAATGTTTAATGAAATAAAATAATTTTACAATAAATTACTTGGTAATTTTTTTTAGTAGAGTCCATAGTAAGTTCAGTACAATAAAAATCAATCTACAAATGAAGAATAATCATACATATCAATAATAAAAATAATAATTGTTATTAAATATTAATTTTCTATAAACACCTTCATATTCAATGAAAAACTTTATGTTATAATTAAAACATTGCTAGTAAAATTAATCACTTGATCCCAACTTGATTAATATTTATATGCTATCTCTATTCTTATCTCTCGACATTGTGACATACAATTGTGAATGCCACATGTATTACTAATATTATTCCTATTTCTATTGCTTTTGCGATTGTTGTTGTTTGTTGTTATTGTTGTCGTTATTGTTGTATTGCTTTTACTATTGTTGATGAAAATGCAAATGCTAAAGCTAATATATTAATGCTAATATAAATCCTAATGTTAATACTAATGTTAATGGTAACACTAATGCTAATACAAATTCTAATACTAATACTAATGCTAATGTTAATGTTAATGTTAAAGCTAACGCCAATGCTAATGGTAATCTTAATACTAATACTAATATTGATATTAATACTAACATTAATACTAGTTTTAATATTTACTGATACTCATACTAATACTAATATTGATACTCATACATAAAAATATATTCCAAATTAATTCAAATTTTAATTAAAATACTTTGCACTTCATAATTTATAACAGATTTTACGAGGAAATGTTTTAATTTTTAAGTAATATAATTATAGAAATAGCATTGAAATATAAATAGGTTATCAAATAAGCAAGATTTATAATTAACGATGATTGATTATGTATAAAAATTACATGGAGAAATTAATTCCACATAGGATATGATTAGGACGCGACATAGATATATCATTTGCTGAATGCATGGAAGTGATGCCAAATGTCGATTTCGTAAGCTATGACAGTTTACTTTTATATATTATATAGGTAGATAGATTCCACACAAATGAATTAAATATCAGATTTTCATGAAATCTTAAGAAAATCTAGTACGAGGAAACATATTTTTCTAACAGGGCACCGTAGACTTTATACAAGATATCAATAATTTTATAGGATGTCAAGAACTGTGTAATTTTCTATTCTAAAACGTCATCGTTTTGAGAGGTCAAGACTTCAAGTCAAGTAGTAAACTTTTATGTGGACTTGGGCCAGAAATTGGGGAATTTGGAAGGAGAATTTCCACTTTTGGTCCCTGGTGTTCCAATTCACCTATAATGTTCAATTTTAAACACTTTCGGTCCATGCCGTCATATGTTTCTTAACAAGTAATGGAAAACATTATTTTTGGGGTTAAAATTGAAATTTAAAATTGTTTAGGGTTGAAAATAATTTAAAAAAATTAAGGGTAAATTACATCCACCCCTTGAGGTATGGTCAAATTACAAAAAACCCTCTCCTGTTAGGGTTATTACAACCACCCATCAACTATAAATCTTCTTACACGTCCACCCATGCGGTTTCAAATTTAGTGGAATCTTCTAGATCATATGGAATAATATAACTTTTGTACCCGTTTTATCCAATTCGAACTCCACATTTTGAAGCAAGATGATCATAATATGTGTTTTTTGGCTTGTATACATCATGTTGTGGTGCATCACAAACTGTATTTTTACACAAAACGAGTACAAACTAGAGCACATTCCAAGAAATCTAGATGATTATGTTGAATTTGACGCTATAAGGTGGAGGTGTAAGAAAAAAAATTATATGAGGGATAGATGTAATTATCTAAACAAGAGAGGTTTTTTCGTAAATTTACCATACCTCAAAGGGTGGTTGTAACTTACCCAAAAATTAATAATAAAAAAGGGGAAATTAACGAAACAAATTATTTTTAATAATTAAAAACTCTCTCGCACCATAAAAACAAATCACCAAACTCAAAAGTCCTCAAAAATCAACCACAAAAACGAAAACATCCCAAACCGGAAAAAATATTAATTAAAATATTTTTGGGGAAATTTAAAAATATACTTAGTTATATTTAAAGTTTTAACAATATTAAGTATAAATGAAAATTCTAATTATTTTCCAGCCCCAAATATTTTAATGTTTTTTTTAGTTTGGGAAATTTTTTATTTTTTTTAATTTTTGGTTTGGTTTTTAAGAAGTTTTAAGGTGGGGGATTTTTTTAGGGTAAATTCACTTTCCTCCTTGTACTTTGGCTTGCTATCACTTTACCCTCTTCTACTCTCGATTATATTGCATCGATTTGCCCCCTATACTTGAAAAATTGTCTCAATGTTGCTCTCGTGGTTAGTTTTTAGACATTTGACCTTAACACCGTTTGATCTAAGTTCGAAAATTACAAAAAAATTACCCCTCTCGGTTTTAATAATTATTAAAAAATAAAAAAATAAAATTGTGACTTGCATCGTGGACTATGTTTTCTCGTTATCTTGTATTTTTTATTATTAATTTTTTTTTTGCTTTGTTGTATTTTAATAATTATTTAAACTGGGGGAGGTGGCGTATTTGTAATTTCTGAGTTTAGAGCAAACGGTGTTAAGGTGAAACGTCTGACAACTAACAGTGATGATCACATTGAGATAATGTTTCAAGTGCAGCGGCAAATCGATGTAATCGAGAGTAGGAGAGGTAGAGTGATATCGAGCCAAAGTACAAGAGGGAAAGTAAAATTTACCATTTTTAATGGTGTCAGAGAGTTCCTAATTATTAATAATAATTTGTTTAGTTGATTTCCTTTTTTACTATTAAAATTTTAATTATAAGTAGTATACTTTAAATTTTTAGTTATTTTTCAATTCCAAAAAAAAAAATTAAATTTTATTTTGGCCCCAATATAGTGTTTTCTGTTACATGCTAAATATGCTATCGGACATGTGAGGGAGGGGACCGAAAGTGAAATTAGACCAAACAAAGGGACTAAAAGGCAAAAGTGTAATTCTCCGAATTCGGATGTTAAAAGCCCAATTGAAAAGATGGAAGATCTGCAAAGAGAATGACACGTATAATTTAATTATTTATTTATTTGCTATATATAAAAATATATTTTGAATGTTGCTTTTATTTATTTTGCCAATTTTCACAGAACCCTCTCTCCCTCTCTCTCTCTCTCTCTCTCTCTCTTCTGTATCTCTTTTATCTTTCTTCTCAAATCTCAAACCTCATCTCAATTTCCTTCATCTCATCAAATTTATACAAAAATTACTGCTGATTTCGTTATACCCACTCTTAATTAACCACAAAATTAGCAAAAATAGTACAGGATATTACATACTGTTGATAATTAACTCAGGATTGTCGCTGGCACCTCCAATTGAATTGGTTTGAAGGTAGAGTTATTCAATCCTGAGCTTTTCGTCATTCTTTCAATTGTCTGGACAAAATATTTTCTGTTTATTTTTAATTTTTAATTAATTTTGTTTTCTGGGTGTTCGTGTACGCGGATTTGTAATTTTGGTTATGGTGGTAGGTAGAAGTTTGCTTCTTTGCCGATCTCATTCATTAGGCTTCTTTGATTTCTATAAACATGTTTTTTTTTTTTTTTTTATAATAATAATATTTTTTTTTTATTATTATTATTATTATAATAAGATTTGCATCAAAATCAAGCTTACCTGATAGTAATCCCAAAAGATTGCATTTTTTTAACTATTTCTTGATTTGTTGATACAGGTTTATTTTTTAGATCATTATCTGAATTTTTATCATGGATGTATTGCCAAAAGATAACTAAATTGGTGTGGCGAGTTATCGTCATAAATATCTAATCTATTAAATTCTAACGAACATGCTGAATAATATTGTAATTGGCTTCTAGTTGATATATTGGCCTCACGAAGCTTTCGGTTTCTATTGAATTGTAATGAACATGCTGAATAATATTGTAATTGGCTTCTAGTTGATATATTGGCCTCACGGAGCTTTCGGTTGGGAACGTGTGGCGTGGACTGCTTTATATGCTTGTGTAATTTGTTGAGTATATATCTCTCTTCTTCATTGCCTTAACAGTCGTCTTCCTTTAGCTAATTCAAAACATAAACATAAGTTAGATTTATGTTACACGGCATAAGTTTCGTAGAAATAATTTTTCGAGTTTGCATGTACTGCTGCTGCTTTCTTACCTACTACCTTACATTTGTAGTGAACGTCCGCTAGAAAATGGTGCAACGAAAGATTCCCGCACTGCCGTATCAGGACTTGGCTTCTTGGACCGATAACTTTTCTGAGAGCAATTACCTCTGCCATTTCCAGTTTGGCAAACTTTATCGTGGAAAGATTGGTGAACGATACGTGATGGTGAAGATATGGGAAGATTCGGAAATATATAACTACAAGCCTGGGGATAACGAGTCTAGACTAGTGGTATATGTTATGCCGACCATACGTACATTTTCAAATAACTTATCTACCGAAACTTTCGACGTTTGTGATACTTTTACTTGCTTGTACAGGACGAAGTATCTTTACTTGGCCATCGTAACATGGTTAATCATCCAGGCATGTTAAAGTTGTTAGGCTACTGTACTGAAGATGACCATCTCGGTGTTGTTTATGATTTCAAGCCATTGGACACACTTTATAACCTCATTCTTAAAGGTATTGGAATATATATATATATATATATATATATATATATATATATATTATTTTTCATTTTACTACAAACTATTCTACTGGTGTAAATTGACAAAAATAGTGTGACACCATAACTGAAGGTTGAGTTTTATATGTAGATGGCTTAACTTGGCTGCAAAGAGTCAAAGTCCTCGTTGGATTGGCTTCTCTCCTCAATCATCTGCACACCGTAAAGAGTCCGCCATACAAACCTTTCATGGTTCGCAATCTTGACTGTGCTCATATAGTGCTCGACGAGGTGTGTTTTAAGCATTTTTATTTGTTTAATTGGGAATTGAGAATCCTATTGCAAATGAATGTAACGGCTATTACTTCAATTCTTTCGCAGGATTATAATCCAAAATTATGTGATTTTGGTCTCGTGAGTGGTGGTATTTTCCCCGATAGGACAATATATAAATGCCATCATGTCATTGGGAGCTATGGCTACATCGATATTACGTCATTTGATGAAGGTATTTCAACTAAATATTTGTTGCCTTCTGACCATTGCCACACTAAGAATTACTTGCTGCTACTTCACAAAAGCTCTTAAAGCTAAACTGTGCATCCTTATTTACAAGTTCATTCGCAAAAGTAAATTGCATTTCTTGTTCCGTGAGATAAGGCCCGATATTAAGAAAGTCGTCATACTTTGGACATATCCAGCCCAATTTTTTTTCTTTTTTCTTTTTTTTTTCTGATTTTTAAGTGCTCAAACTTGTAGAAGGTTACATTCTTCGATTACTAATTATGCTGCAATTGGTTGTCTCACAGCACCATTATCTTCTCGTGACATTAATTTGTTTGATAGTATAAGTCTATATTTAGAATGCATTTGGTGTTTCTTGCAGGTCATTCTTCGGTCAAGCAAGACGTGTATGGATTTGGGGTAATACTTTTCAGTATTATTTCAAAAAGAGTTTACACCGAAGAAGATAGGCTAAGTTACGCTCCAAACGTTTTCAGATGGGCTTGGGGTAGATGTTTTGAATATGATCGTGAAAAAGAAAAAGATAGTGACTCGAAGAAAGATGATTCAGATAGTGGTGACTCGAAGAAGCCAAAGTTTTCGGTCGTCCATCCAAGCCTAGCGGAAGATCCCGATTTTGATCCTTTCGATGGGTGTAAAATTACTGCGCTAGGATTGGATTGCACAGGCCGAAACTTGTTTGCACGCCCCACGATGAATGAAGTCCTCGGATCTCTTCTCAGACTCCATGTTGTGAAGAATCGTGAAAATCTCCTTTGATGTACCGGACCGGTCCTTCTGGTGTGTTACTGTGTAAGTTTATGGCTGACTGAATTAATATTAGCTTAGAATTTGAAATCAATTTGTTGTTAAATTTATTACATTCAACTGTGGTTTTTGGTTAATATAATTTATTAATTTGTCTGTGTGCAAATGGGATAAATGTTTGGGAAAAGGCAGAAGGCTTCTGTACATTGATTACTCAGAATCCTTATCTTTATAATGCTAAACACAATTGCAAGTAGGTGTGAGCCAAAAAAAACCCGAAAAACGGAAAACCGAACCAAGAAGTTAATTTGTTACCTGAAATTGGTGGGGAAATTGGTCGTTTAATTTTCGAGAGTTTGAAAGAATTTTGAATTTTTTTCTGAATAAAAGTTACAAATTCATACAATTGATAACATTGATGATGCTAAGCACAATTGCAACTTTAGAAACAGTACATACCAAAAGGCTCCATTACACTTAAAATTCATACAATTTGCTAACATTAGTACTGACTGCTAAACACAGTTGCAACTTTAGAAAACAACAAATGCCAAAACACTCCATTACACATCAAATTCTAATCAATTGCTAGCTAGCATTGACAGAACAAAAGTCACAAAAAAAAAAAAAAAAAAAAAACAAAACAAAAAATGAAAACCGCGAAAACCAACAACATGCGAACATCACACATTGAATTCTCCAAGGGTAGCGATGACTGTTTCGATCAATGGCCGGGAATTCACTTTTTCTTCGGTGCAAGCTATTCCGAGAACAGTGAGTTTCTCCGCGTCGCTCGTGGAACAGCCTGATTGGAGCAACGTCTTGTGAACCGCATGACCTTGGCGCTCTTTCGCAACCCTCGCCAGAATGGATACATGAGGCTCCAACTTTTGCGATTTCGAACTATTAGAGTCTCTTCTACTCGTTCCCCCCTTGAGTATTTTCTTATAAAAATCCACCTGCTCGTTTAGACTCGAAGCCCTATCCAGACAAGCGAAGTGATTCTCTTTCATTATTACTTGAAGGAGAATGACTCCATAGCTGTATATATCCGATTTTTTCGAATCACCTTGTCCTGTCCAAAATAACTTATATCACACAGTTTACTATGATTTACCCTGTTCAACATCATTAGAATAATGAAAACAGTAGGGAGGGCTTTTGCACAAAACCGGATTCCTATTTATCACAAAAAATCGGACGCCGATTACTAATGGACACGTATGCACATGTTATAAGGTTTCTGATTCAAATTCATTTCATTAACATTCTAATATATAAATTCCCAAAATTGCAAGCTGGTACCAAAATAAACTAGACAGATCATATAATTAAAATGGTAGATATTATTTAGGTCTTTTTATGAATATACCTGATTCTTTGACTTCTATCGGCCCGTATTCCCCGTTTACCGTCGGCAAATTGCGCCCTCCCTTCTTGGCGGAACCAAAATCGCACAAGAAGACATTGTATTCCTATAGTAGTTCATCAAAAAAGAAAAATGTGAAACATATGACAAAAACATAATATATTATAAAAACATTTTATAAACATGGGTACTTCATTAATATAATCACTACCTCATCTACGAGCACATTGTCCGGTTTGATGTCACCACTGACATAGTCTTCGGCTATGAGTGCTTTAATCCCGTTCGCTAATTGCTTTAGGATTCCTAGAGTTCGAGCCCAATTCAACTCATATCCTACAAACAAAAAATAGAACATTTTCAATTATGTTAGTATAGTTGAATGAATTTTCAAATAATGGAAAATAATCGTAAAAAATATAAATTAATACTTTGTATAATAAATAACGTACCTACAATTCCACCTTCTTTAGTTTCCAACACTTTTTCTAAAGTTCGAGGTACGAACTTCATTACGAATATCAACTTCTCAGTCGTAAAACACGTTCCCACCAATGGAACAATGTTTTGGTGGGAACTCAAGTCGGTATAAGCTTTTAATTCGTTCTGCAAAGAAAATAAATAAATAATGGAATTAGATTATCATCCTAATAAAAAATCATTAGGAAAATAAAAATTTAATTTCATTAAATGAAATGCATACCTCGGCATAATCTTTACGTTCAACTGGAATAACCTTGACTGCGACGTCTTTGATATCCATATTGTAACCGTCGTCGTCCAACTCAAGTACACCTCTATATACCTTTCCGCATTTTCCCTCACCAACGAAATTTTCCTTGGACTCCGTCGTCATTTGACAAATTTGTTCATATGTGAATTCCCGGATGGGCTGTGATTAGCAATTAATTTGAATAATTATTAAACATACAATGTTATTTATCGTATAAGAATATCGAATATCTATATATACATACTATTTTTTTTTACCTGTTGTTGTTTTGCGTATCTGGAAGTCGACCCTTGCTTTGACCGAGAAAACTTTTTCTTTTGTGACTTAGGCGCCATATTTTTAGAATTGCTACATTCAAAATATTGAAAAAATTATAATGTTAAAAATGATTAATTACATATTATTTTTTAGTTTCACCAACAAAAACTCAATTTAATGTTAAAAAACAGCCAATATGCAAGAAAACAGAACCATTTTTTTCTTTTGAGAGATCCTACCAATATTACAGTAGAAACATCTTGGCACATAACAATATGTAGCCAAAGAAACAAACGCAAAATAATCGAGAATTTCTTTTTTCTATTTTAATTCATTACCAAGCACCTATTTTAATAGATCTCGACTAGTTATTGAAATTTTGGTGTTCCAATTCCATCTTTAAGAGAACCCGAAAATTCCAGGTAAAAACAACAAAATATATAATTGAACATGGGAACTAAAATTAAATAATAGAAAAAATCAGTGAATTTATTTGCCCCATTTATATATATATATATATATATATATATATATATATATATATATATATATGACACTGTTAACTCTGTTACTGGAAGTCACTTATTCCCAGATTTGATGTATAATCTTCATCAATAAAACTTTAAAACAATGGCATCTGTAAATAGGCTAATATTTTTCATGCATGTGTTGTGAAAAAATCCTATCATTTCGTAATGTTCGTCGACATATATTATCTATGTAATAACATGCTCCGATTCATCCATATTTGTAGTGAAATTAATTATTTGGTTACACTCTAACTACATACTAAAACATTATAAAAAAGATACAAACATCAACATGTAATAAGCCAACACAAAAAAATCATTTCAGTGCAAAATACATAAAAAAAAAAAATCGAATCTCGGTGAAGAGCGAGGTTAGGTTTGAGAAACTTGTGCTTTTATTCCAACCAAAGAGAGATCTTCTTATGAGCTTGGCTGGGCTCTGCTGCTGCTGCTGCTGCTTTCAAGAGCTTTCAAGTAGTGAAGTGGTATATGAGGTACGAACTTATTAAAATTACAAATTTACCCTCACTTTTATCTTTCTTTTAAAAATTACCATTTTCATTAAAGTAAGTTCTAATTACGAATAAATCCCTGATGTTTGGGTAATTACAATCACCCCTCAACTAAGAATCTCCTTACATGTCCACCCTTGCTTTGTTAAATTTAGTGAAAGCTTCAAGATTATTATCAATATTTATTATGATTATTATTACTTAAAACGTATACAAATTGTCGGTTTAGGAACTCAAGACCCGATCATGAAAAATATTTAAAATTGGACCCGTCTTAGCAGGGTTACCCGAAATTAATGTGTCCGACCCGCCAAACTCATTAGACTCGTTAACATAAACCAATACTCCCTTTGTCCCTTATTATATGACTTTTTGGGGTGTTTTTTTTTTTTTTTTTTTTTATCCCGAATTATTTATCATTTTAGAGTTCTAATAAGGTATTAATTGTATTTTTATCAATTTTGCCCCTTATCATTCTTAATTAATTAATTAAAAAATAAGTAATGATAATGGTATTTTAGTATTTACTATGTTATTTTTAGTATAATCTATACATATTTATTGACTATTCTAATAAACGCATAATCACCTAAAATGACATATAATAAGGGACATAGGGAATATGTCTTAAATTCTATATTAGTATAACCGTATGTTTACAATAAATATCATCTCAAAATAAAAATGCAATTAGGTGAAATGAGGTGGAACAAAATTTAAATTGTGAAAAAAGTAAAACCGGCCGTAATAACTTAATTAATTTTAAAAAAGTAAATTAGTTATTATAAGACCCGGGTTAAATTACTCGATTCAGATACGTTCAGTATAAAACATAAAACTCATTACTAGTCCTGAAACCGTTTAGCTTACCCAAACTCACTCCAAACTGGTCAGTTTCGGGTGTAAAACATTCGGCAATTCGTACATATTTAATTCCCCTAAACTTTCATCTTATAATTGACTCACAAATAAAATTATTTAATTTGCTAGCTATTCGTCTTGTTTAATGAATGAAAGTGAAAGATTGATTATTATTGTTTCGAGGTAAATAAATGACACAAAGAATTAAGTGTAATCAGTTTTGCCATTAATTTATCTTTTTTGCCTCCTTTTTATTGGTTCATAAATAAAAATTCATATTTCCTTATTTAGCATGATTTTATCTCTCTCTGATTGGCAGTAACTTAATTAGCTCTCCTTCTTTCTTTGCTTTTTTTATTTGTACTAGTGTTATGAATCAGACTATTGCATGCGTAAAATATAGCTGAGCTTATCTTCATACAAGTAAATTACCAAATTGCCCATCACACTTGTTTTTTTCCTACCAAAAAGGAAGAGCCCCAGTTATAACATTTAAATAAACTAAAGTAGGAAATACCCAAATAAACCTTTCTTTCTTTCAGTAATTTTGTCTCAAGTATATGTTTATTTAAAACTACATTTAGATATGCATATAATATTATTATCTGTTTGTGTATGTGTGTGTATATATATATATATATATATATATATATATATATGTATATTTTATTAGTACTGTTATTGAATACATGACACTGGTTTCATAGCATAGTTGACCATCCAATAGAATGTTTAACACTTATTAATGCTCTTTCATTTTTTTCTAGAGAGAGAGTAAAGGAAGCAAGTCCCTCTCATATTTATTTTTTTACTTTTTTATTTTATTTTTTTAGGCTTCACATATTTAATATTCCAACTACATGTATTGGCTTAATTTCACTTTGCACCATTGAAAGTATCATTTTGCCACTTTGCACCCCTAGAAAAATTTATGGCACTTTGCACCCTTGAAACATGTTTAATCGGTCAAATTGCACCTTAGTTTATTTTTCGGCCAGAAATTTCCGTCGTTGACCTAATTTCTGATAGTCAACGAACTCATTTTTGCTCTAATATACATTAGCAATTTGCACCCTAAGGAATAAACCAATTGAATAGACAAAAATGACCATGTTAACGATCAAAAAATAAGTTAACGACAAAAAATTATGTCCAAAAAATAGACTAGGGTGCACTTCGAATAATTAAACATGTTTGGAGAGTGCAAAGTGCCATAAATTATTTTCGAAGGTGCAAAGTGCTAAAATAGTATATTTCGATGGTGCAAAGTTGAATTAAGCCTAATGTATTGATCAAATGGTATATTTC